TGTTATGTTGAGAGGAATTTGCCTTTTATTTTGTACTTTACTTCAACGTACGCGCTATGAATGATTTGTTTATGGGAACGTTAAAGATATTACAAAAAACCTTTGCAGGTCTTTCTGTGTCAAAACTAGAAGCATATGAATTATTCTACACTTGGCGCAAGTTGCAGGAGCATGGGATATTGTTTTATACTATTGAAAATACCAATGAAAGTTAAAAGATACTTTTTACAAAATCCTGTTGTGAGGCTTAACTAAAAATATCTTTCCATGTTCTGATTTAACTAAATATGTTTTGGTTGATGTTGAAGCTCAGTTACAAGCACTGCAATCTATTTTGGAGTTTTCAGTGACGAAAAGCGTGGACCCTACCAATAGCAACGCTCGAAATAAACCACTGATCCATAAGTACTCTACGCCGGCCTACACTTATTCATATATCGAATTTTAAAAATAAGCGGTTATATGGGAAATAGTCAAAAAAATGGTCGCTTGCGAACTATTTTCAATAGCATTCGTCTTTGAACCGAAATACGTTGCGACAGACGGACTGACAAGCAGTGTAGGGCATAAAAATAGTTCCACGGTCGTACTAGTCAAACAATTGCTACCAATTAGGCATAACACTCACTTGTCGCATTGCACTAAAAGTTAAGAGAGCAAACAATTAGCAGTGACATAAACGAAGAAAAACGCAAACGTAGGTGAGACTTGTAACAAAACTGGCATGCCCACTAAATGAGCAACATTTTTAGGTGGATTGTCGATCGAAGTAATTTTTAGTTTTCACTGTTACATCGCAGTTTCACACTTGCAAGCGAATGATAGCCATTTTAAACATAAATCCCTGTACGTACGTCCCCCGCTTTATTTAACAATTCGGGCTTTCACATGAAATAAAAGGGCAAACCAGACCGAAGCGAGTCATCATTCCCCGGTGATGAGGGTTGCGTATAGTGTGCGCGGTCTGTGGTGCTGTTATAACAAATTAAATTATGAAACCGATATAACCTCATGTTTTGATCACGGGAAGGCAACGAAAATTCATTGCAATTCTGCGCTTTTTTTTCATTGAGTAAGTCATAGGTGTCACCTTGTGTAGAGTACTTTTGTACATGCTGTTAGTTTTTTTGATGAAGCGCCTTGTACATTTGTCGATAGGATCCGTCGACCAATGCGTGTTTTTCGCAAAAGTAAATTCTTCGTTAAGATTTCTGGAAGAGAGGGAAGGCAAACGTTCGGTACGTTCTCTGTTCTCTACAGTATTACAAAATTATACCAGTGTAAACTTTCCTAATAAATATTGTGAACTTCCTACGATATTGGCAAAGAGGATCGTTACCTGAAAAACATTTTTCAAGCTCTGGAAATGCACTGTCTGTCTGCTTGTAGCAGACTGCTTCACGTTCAAAATATGCCTTGCGAGAATGGCTAGGGTTTCGCCAATTTTTGAATCTTTTCAAGAATAGCACTTTTGTTTCCTACTTAAACTTGGGTCGAATATTATTTTTGTATTGTCTTTTCTTCCATCCAAAAAGTACTGACAAAAAAGCTTTTTGTACCTTGCACCACGTATAGCGCAAGGGTTCTGAGGATGTACACTATTGAAAATCGTTCGGATCGGATCACTTTTTCGACCGCTTTCTATAAAAGGCCTAATTTTTAAAAAAGGGTGGTATTTAATGATAGGCATGACCGTGTTTTTAGACTCCAACAGCGATGTAACGCTTTATTTATAGTTATGGATAGACGCAAGTTTCAAATCCTTGCTTATATTTTTATGTAAATATATTGCTGATTACAATAATTATCAGCATTATGGTGATGAAGACTTTAAGAATACACTTATATATATATATATACCCTCAACATAAACATAATCAGAAATATCAACAACAACGCAAATTAACTAAAGTCATTTCATCTCTGTTTTCCTATCCTTTTATTATGATTAGTAATTTTCTAATGGGTTGAAACAGTCGACGTCAGAGCATGCATGTCTCCGTCTGATGCGTACACAAATTTCAATTCCCTGTCGGTAAATTACTTTAATTTATCTTATGTGGTTTATTGATCGAAGGCAAGAGAGAAATGAAATTTTTCTTTTCTTTTGTGTTTTTTTTTTTTTTTCTTCTTGCTAGGAAATGTTCTTGAATTCGATTGTCTGTTCCTTTGTGTTATTTCCCGTCTATATCTAAATATTATTGATGACAAATAAAATTTAAACAAACTTGCCTACATATGTCTGCCAATCTGTATACATTTGTAGTGTGGTGTGCACAAATTCAATATAAATAGCAGTAAAGATAATAAATGTCATATGTTTGTTTGCTAAAAAAAAACTAAAAGACAGTCTTTTGAATGCGTAATGGATTTGTAGAGTTTACTTCCCAAAAAAAACCAATCAAAGACAAAAAGAAACAAAAAATCAAAACGAAACAAAAAAAGAGAAAAAAAACAATTATTAAAATTCTTTTGTTTTTTCGATCGATCACTTTTCACAAAGTCTTGAATTTTGTTAAAGTAAGGGGCAAAAAATAAATTTCACTCTGGAAGCAAGAAAACTGTCATCAGTTTTATTAAAATTCGCTTAAGTTGTTTATCGATCTAATAATGTAATGCACTCAGGTGAGCGGCAGTTTGTCATGATTTGCTACAACTATTGAAGAGAGATAAGCAAAAGGAAAAGTGCGAAAAATCCAAGCAAACTTAACTACATTAAATTAAATTTAAAACTGCACAACGTAACAAACACACACACGTAAAATGCAATCTATATATGCAACATGACACTGAGTGCATTCGTTGTGTTGTGAGTATGTAATCAGAAAATGCTTGTATTGCGGATAAGTGCCTGCTTGCGTTTGAGCATATCTAAGTGCGTTTAAAGCCATAGATTCATGTGTGTGTTGGAGCATGTGTGAGCATGTATAGCAAAAATAAAAAAACTATAAATTTTGTAAATTGCCGTTAAATTGTCCATGTTTAGTGTTTTGTTTTGGGTTTTTATTTTAAAGTTTTCCAACAAATCATGAAATTGTGATTTACAATGTGTGAATGAAGTAATGAATGAATGTAACGTTTGAATGAACGAGCGCTAGTTTAAATACATTATAAAACATTCAAGTTTGCATTTAAACAATTAAATATTTTGCTATAACAAATTCAGTTCAATCCGTTAGCGAAAATTAAGTTTTACCAATTCTGCATAACATTTGTAACACTGCAAGCCAAGTATAAAACGCAAAAGTTGTTCACAGTTTTAATCATGTCTCGCTATTCAGCTTTAGCTTTTTCTCGCCAGCTCTGCACTTATCATCAAGACTGCATAGTACAACTACATTATCCTTGTTTAGGGACATAATTATTTTCATCTCATCAGCGCATATGTTTATGCGCTTTGCTTAATGCAAATCGTCTGTACAACCGCTTATCCGCAAGGAAATATGTAGTAAAAATAGATATACAGAACATGTGCAATCGATCAGCCAGTTTACTGTCACCCATACTAATTCACCTATCTGACCATCTCTGCTCCATTTCTTCATCAGTTTTACGTAATCATATGTCCGTCCGTCCAACTTTGCCTACGTTCGTTAGCTTTACCCTTCCTCTGCTTAACTATTCGATCGTTTTCTAAGCTAATGATTAGCTTTTTGTCTGATTGTTTGTTGCCGACCATTTGGCAATGCGAGCGCGTGTTTCCATTTGGAGCCCCACAAGTCTGCGCCAGCGCAAACGATTATTCACCAGCCTAAGCGATTGTTCGCTAGTCTAATCGGCTGTTCGCTAATCTAAATACTTTTTCCAGCCTAAACGTCTCTTCGGCTGACCTTCTATTCATTTGCATGTTAGAATACCCGTCTATGCAGTGGACACAATAATTGGGACACACACTTCCAACTGCATATATGCGTTCTACTCCTTCAATACCGAGGGGACTTCTTCGCAATAGCAAAGAATTAAAAGCCATTTCGAGAGAAGGTAAAATTTGGAGGATTTTTCCTTTCATATTTCTTCACTCCTTATCAGATGCTTTTCGCGAGACTCCTCGATCGATCTTCTTGTACAAAATGTGATGGGTATCTAAAATTCTCTCTGAAACGAGAAAATACGCTTTTCTTACTTGTGTGTGTCTATTGCGTGTCAAGGCATCATCATATTCCGAACGGAAAACAAGTTTTATATAAACGAGTAGCATTTTGTTGCGAGTACATCCAATTTACGCCCTCACTTATCATCAAACAGTGATAATTATTACATATAGATATATATATATATATATATATATATATATAATATACATGTATGCACACATGCATATACAACATATGTTAAGAAGCATGCACATGCCGTACTAACTGCTTATATTGATCATTACATGTTTACATATTTAAATATATATTTATTTGCAAGTGAATATTTTTTTTATTTTTTGATTTTTTATTTTTATTTTTTTTTGCTTTTCACATAACATTTAAATAAACTCTAGTAGCTGTTACCTCCTTATCAGTCACACCCTCGACTTTTCGGTTTGAATTGAAGCCTGACTTGTATTTTATTTTGTGTAAAATAAGAGAAATGAAACCAAAATACGTTTGTTTCTTTTTTACGTTTTTCTTTTTGTTTTATTCAAAGAAAAAAAAAAAAAAACAAAAAATGAGAAAATCTTTTTAAAAAAGCCTTTTGAATTTTGCCAATTAATTTTACGTCAAAAATTGCCAATCACTGTCAGTACCGTCTTTTTAATGCAAATCAATATGGGAATTTTTTGTATTTGTTTTTCTTTTTTCTTTTGAGTTTACAACAAAAATCAAATGAATCAATTTCGTTTATATAAAAAATTTTGAATAGTTTTTTTTTTGTTGTTGTTTGAGCAAATAATTCATAAGTAAACAATTGAAATAAGAATACGCAATAAAAATAATGAATAAAATTGTGTAGGTTTTTAATAAAATAAAAAAGTTTTTTTTTTTTTTCTGTTTTAATGTTTGTTTACTTACCTAACCAGTCTGGTAGAAGAGAGCCCGCAAGAGATTCTGAGTATCTCTTACCTGGAAAATTAAAAGAAAATTAAGTGAACCTTATGTACACTTTTATATGCTTATGTTTATACATGTAATGCATATGTTGTAGGTTAGCATTTATGATAAGTAACAGTTTGAGTAAAAATATTCTAAATACATATAAGAACTGTATGGAACTCAAAGAAGAAATTCGCTTTGAAGCGAATCAGTCGAACTACCCACCACACCGTACATTAATGTTTAATAATCGCAAGAGTATCAGCGACGTGATCAGTTAAGTCATTTGGCGGGGATTATATAAAATCTATTTGAAGAGCTTCCGTCGGAAATAGGTGTGCATAAGGAATTCCTTTTTTTTTGCTTAAATTTTGATTCTTTCAAAAGCATAATAGTGGACCGATGGACGGACATAACTAGAGCACTTTGAAATAAAAGCCTCGTTAAAGATAGGTGCTTCATAATGCATTTTCTTTTTAAGATTAGAAACGGAATAGAAAGATTTTTCTACCCACCATCCTTGAAGCTACAGTTTAAAAATTAGCAAAATATTTTATTAACTGCAAGAGTATCGGCGAAATGACCAGTTGGATCGTTTGGGGGATTCCATAATCTTTATTACAGCATTTGCTGTAGATTCTATCATAAAATCTTATAAGTGAAAGCTTGAAGAGTTTTCTTGAAAAATGAATGTGTCTAAGAGTACTTTGTTTTACTTGAGTTTTAATTCTTTGCGAGTCGAAATAATCAAATGACCCGATGGACAAACCGAACTGGAGTACTTTGGAATAAGAGCCTCAGCGAAGATATGTGCTTCGCCTTGGGTTTCCTTTAGGTTTAACAAATTATGAATGACTAAACTAGTACATCCTCATTCTACGGTGGGTGGGGTGAGTTAGTATGTAAACAAATAGGTAGTAATAGAGAATAGAAAGAATTTTCTACAATAAATAATAAAATATTATGTTCGTATAAAAAAAAGTTGTAAGATAAACAAAAAGCCAAAAATAAATCATATAAAGATTAAGAGAAACATAATGTATATAAAAATTTATCTCATTGTGACAACATAAAGTATCTTTACTAATATATTGTTGTAATGTAGTTCTGCTATTTTGATTATTGTAGCCGCAATAGTGTCATTTATCATACAGGTATCATACAGGTTTAAGTCTTACTTTAACGTTTGTATCTATCGGTTTAAGTCGCAGTCTTAAATAATCAAAAGCAACACAACATAATTTATCATAAAACACAAAGTCTTCAAGGCACAAATAATTAAAAAAAAATACAAATATTTTTTATTTATGTTCGATGGTATTTTTCATAACTTTTTCCAAAAAAACAGCATTCTTCATAGATCTTATGATATCTTAAAAAGACAGTGAGCTGAATGCTTTTTCGAAATTCTTCTAAAAATAGAAAAGAAAGAAAGTCATAATCACTTTAATTAACTGCCAACATGTTAATATAGGCCGGTGATTATAATTTGTGCTATGTTAATTTTAGTCTTCTTCTTTACAGAGGTGCCCTCTGTTCGGGGATAGGCTTTTTTTTTTTTTTTTGAGAAAACCAGCTAAAAATGCTTAGAAAGCTGACATAACTTACTACATGCAGAGTGATATTTAGGTAAACGTTATTCGCTATTTATCTGCCGTCTTCATATATACAGTTGCGTCGGTATCTGCTAAAGCACTTACAATAAATTCAGTTTAGTTAACAAGTATTTTCGCTGTAGGTGGCGGCAGATATCCAAAATTCACTCTTACACTGTCTCGCACGTAGCTTTCTTAGCATTTGGATAATTAAAAAAGCTGTTGTTTGTTTATTATGTCAATTTGGTATTTTTGACACAAAACAAATTTTTTTACGAACCCTCTCGCTCCATAAGATTTATAGAAAATATAAATTTTGAATTTTTATTTAAATATAAATTTCAAAAAAAAAAATAAACCGCTATAGGAGGAAAGGCTTCTGATATGTGAGCATAAAAGTATCATTCCACACGTTATCATCAAGAAATCTGATGCAACGCATTTGTTGATTGGAGAAAGTGTTTGATGTAAATCATTGGCGCTAATGGTTTCTTCCCAGCTCTCTGAAGAGCGCACTTTCAATATTTGAACTTGTGATCACGTTTATAATGATATTCGATCGTCTTCATATTCCGTTGTATGAACTCTAGGTCACACTGTTTCAATTTTGTGATGGTAGGTCGTGGTAGGTCATGGTGTATGCGATGATTAGTTTTCGTTAACTTTCTCAATTTGTTTTTTTTTTTTTTATTTCTCTTTTAAGCAAACTTTTTTTTAATAATGAGCAACATCCCCCTTATATGCCAAAGAGAGCGAAATGTTTAAAAAAATTTGAATCTGAATCATAAAGAGAGTTTTTTCTATATATAACAACCCTAAGGCGATTTAGATAAAGCGGATGTGGTGGCAGGTGTCGACAGTGTGCTGACAGACTCACAGTAAAAGTTAGTCCTCCGAATTAACCAGTAAACAATCAGTAAGTCCTGCAAATTTTTTTGGCTTATGCTACTGTGCCGCAGAAGTATGTAATGTAATTACATAACAAATTTTTCCTTTTTAAAGCGGCGCATTATTCCAAATCTATGTCGTCGCCTTCGAAGTAATCATCAAACTCAAATAACATTCCTTGCGAACAGTTTGTTTTCGAAGAAAACTATTAACCTCTCACTTTGAGTTTTGCGCGACTTTGGCTCAGTTTTTCTTATCCTGGCTCACTCCTCTTGCCCGATATTCGCTCTGTTGATCGGTTGATTTCGGTTTTCTGTGCGTAGATCTAACTCTCATCTCCCGCAATAAGGCTTTTCATGACCGATTGATAGACAGACATCATCTCCTCACACATGTTGTAACAATCGGAAAAAATACTTTTCGACCCAGATGTCTGTTACAGTCCTACCAATTTTGAAACGAACAATTTCTTTAACACACACACACCGTATTACAAGATTTAAAATGAATGAACGCTTTGTGTTCATCATTGTATTTTCATATGGTTTCGGTTAAAAATGAGCTTTTTCTCTGCCTTGAATCAATTCCACTAACTTGAAAGATAACCCCGATCGTTGCATTTGCTATGTTCACGTTGCCTGTTGTGTAATCATTTTTTCCTAATTCGAACAAAATTTATCAAAAGCAAAAACAATTAATTTGCCCAAAAAAGAGTTTTAAACGTCAAATCACTCGAGGCTTTCTGCGCATTGGGTTATTAGGGTCAGTACTGTGAATTTTTTCCCCGACTTTCTATACAATTTGAAAAATATTTACGTGTCACTTTCTGACTGTTACAATCATTTGCGATAATTTCTAGAAGGATAACTGCTGGAGATGGCGACAATTTCAAATTAGAGAGAGAATAGAGAGATAGACCGAGGGACAGGCGAACGACCAGTGAATAGCAGTAGATACGATTTAACTCAGGATCTCTTGCTGCTTAGGAGAATTTATTTTGTGTGTTGGTGTTTCTAAAATTAAGTCTGATTTTCATAAGAATAATCACAACTAGAGTGCGCCAGTAGTGGCGCTGATAAGACGTAGTAAGAAATCGTCGTGAAATGTTATCGCAAAATAACGGGGAAGAATCCTTATGACTTGGAAAGCACTTAATGTATGTACATACTTATCTAATACTGTTCAACCACTTAAGGGATCACATGTGTAACAGATGATCGAAATGAAGGGCGAAAGAAGGGAAGGGAATTAAGAGTTAGCCTAGTATCGCATCCATGGTCAGAAAAAGATGAGAGAAGAGTAAGAGAAGGCAACTTAGTGGGGGTTTGCCCAACTGGTAAATATTATGCTTTTACTGGCTAGCCACCCATTACAGCTACGGAGCAAGTGCGGGCAAACGGAACTGCATTGAGATTCGAACTCTCGAATAAAGACTTCGCCGTAGCACTGAGATTTGAATCATCGAACACTGACTTGGGAGTTACGACTCTTAGGTACTCGGCAATACCGCAGGCCAGATATAATTAGTTTACATCAAATAATGTTTTGAGGAAATGTAAAGGAAGATAACTCTGCGTGGAATATATTGCTGAAAATACGCACGAGACGTAGAGTTGAATAATGTTTAGGTTTTTTATAATTTAAAAGGATTTAAATGCAAACGTTCTCTCTTAAAATATTGCCGCATAAATTTTTCGCGATGAAGATGTCAAGAAACATTAAATCTGCTATGAAAAGATGTCTGTACTTGTACATGGATAAAAGAAACATGCATTACGTACGCGCAGGTGTTTAACTATAAAATAAAGTTTATTTATGTTTGTATTCTTCGTTGTTGGTGTATTTCTCCAAATTGTTCGAAAAAAGGTTCTTCCTAAGAAGAAATATGTGTAAAACATTTGCATAAATTTCATGTAAATGCAAGTTGGTGGCAAACATTCTTGATGAATGTTTTTCAAACTTGCAAAATTTTGAATGAGCAGCGTATGCTTATGTTCTTCTCTTTTTTTTTTTTTGTATTTGCTGAATCTTCTTCTTCTATAGTCTTTTTTTTTTATTGCGTTTAAGGTGTTGGAATATTGTTGTTATTGTTGGTGCTTTAATGTTCTTTTAAATGCCGTTTGTTGGTGTGCGCTCCATTTATATGCAAATAAATCACTGACGTAAAGCCATAAGTCGCGCAATTTAAATGCTGGCATAGAAAAAATATTTAATACATACACATAACAAACACATATGAACACTGTCCATACATAAGAGTACATAAGTGTGACTGCAGTAGAGATACGTAAAACTGACACTACATGTTATGCTTTACCGTTTTTTTTTTTTTTTTTGGTTTTCTGTTTTGCTTTTCTCACCACCTTAGGGTGAGGATACACTTATTGTGTTGTTTCGCTTGTAACGGTCAGGAAAAGTTCAAAAGGAAAATAATTAAGTAGCAAGACATATGGATGTAAATATAATATATGTAGCAGTCGGGTTTGCGTAACTCTGCAAGATTGTATTGCACCATCTGATCACAACGTTATTTGAAATCGATTGAAC